CTAATGGAAGGACAATTCCGACCATGCCCGAGAGGGTGAGAGTGGGATTGAACGGTGTGTGCGTGGGAATGAAAATAGTAAAATGAAAATGGAAGAATGAAAGAATGAACATGAGCTATTGCGCCTGGCACGAAGTGTGTACTTCGAGATGCACCAAGCACTATGCTTGCCACAAAAAATTTGCATTTCGAGGTTCATTATACGTTGGGTTTGCCACGAAATCTCTGTTTCCAGGTTTACAAAGTGTCGTGCCTGCCACTAAATTTACACTTCGAGGTCTGTTAAATAGATTTGCGCCAACAAAATTGTTACGAAGTGTTGTACCTACAACGAAATCTGCATTTCAAGGTTTACCAAGCGTTGCACCTGCTACGAAATCTGCATTTCGAGGTTCACCAAGTGCTACAGTTCCCATAAAATTTAATGTATCGAAACTCGCAGAATGCTATACCTACCCCGAAGTCTGCAAACGAAATATTTATCCAATATATCCAAAAAATATAATTCATCATACCTACGTCATCTAAGCTCCTTAACAATCATTTCTATATCGAAAAAAATACACCTCCCACGAAAATGACATTTCGCAACAAATACACACTCCAGCCACCAAAATTCTACAAACCAATACAATCGAAATATATATTAATACTAACAAATATATTACAAATAACAACGAATTAATCAAACACGATCGTACGAAACAACAATCCAAAAATATTTGCTTTTCTATTACTATAACCTGAGCGGGGAAACACGAAAGGTAGGGAGGGACCGAGTAGCTGTCGGGACCTTTTCTGGTGAGGAACTGCCTCCGCCCCTTGATCAATTGTGAATGAAACCAACAAAGCCAGAGAGCACAAGAAGGCATAAGAAGGCCCAAGAGGAACATCGTTGCGGTCAGATTGCGCCACACGGCTCTGCAGAGAGGCTGCATTGCGTCGACGCTCGTTTGTATCTAGGTGTGTGAAAATAGGCGTGCGTAAAAGTCGCAATGCGTAAACACTCGCATGTGTACCAGCTATGGTCCCACAGCTGCACGCACTGTGCCAGGATTACAGGCCTGTACGCGTTGCGTCGAAGCCGCAGTGACTCAGTGACCAACCCCCTTGCAAGGAAGTGCTGGAGGGGTGCGGCCGGTGCTGCCAGAGATGGACGTTACGTTATGGTGGGTGTGCTTCACGATGCGATAAGATTTCGGCACGCTAGGGTATAAGTCTGAGTCGAAGGGGGTTCCGCGACGCGAGGGGTTTCTCCACAGGGCTTAGTAGAGAGGCTGTGTTGCATCGATGCTCCTTGGTGTCGAACAATATGGTCTGGGAACGCAATACGCTCTGTGTCAGGCTGCCGGGTTTTAATAGTGCTAGCGACGAGGGGAGGGGACGGGGAGGGGGAAAGGGGAAAATAAAATCAATATAATTAAAAAACAACATATATTTTTATTAATAATTTTATTCTTCAAAAATTAATTACAAATTCTATCAATTTTTTTCTAAAACTATGTATTTTTTCATTATTTTAGTTTAATTTTATTAAATATATATAAATATTTACGTATAATGACATTTAATATTTCAATCAGTATTTTTAAAATTCCTATAATATAATTTTTTTCCTTATAATCCAAATATTAAAATATTAAAAAAGATTCATTTGGAAACCCATTCATTGCATTTTATTTCATTAATATAATATTTATTCCGATATTTCTTCAATCCTATAATTTTTAATAATCAAATTTATATTAATAACTTATTATTAAGATATATTAAAAATAAATATATTTAAATCTTTTTAATACTTTATCAAAAAACACCCATTTAAAAATAAATATTCCTTTAATTATAATTACTTTCCATAATTTCCTAAACTCCTCGCTTCGTCATCAATTATATCACCGACATCACAACACCCCTCAAATCACTCATTTTTCATTACCATATGGCCCGCCTCTTTTTTTTTCGCTCTCCTCACGCAGCCACCCCCAAACCCCCGTTACTCGCTTCGTTCGCTCCAACAACCTCAAGCCCAGCCTATCGGCTGACTATCGTGACATCAAATATATTAAATCATTTTAAACATATCAACACATCTCCAATATAATATCAATATATAAGAAAACATTGATTCGAATTTCCTTACAGTGGTCATTTTCTCAATCATCTTCGTCACTGTAGCTTTCCTCCTGGCAATTTGTTGCTGTCAAGCTGCAGTTTTCAAGGAAAAGATTTGACAGCAAACTGAATGAAACTGACGACTCCTCATCCTCAGCTGCTCGAGCTTTCGGCTTTGCTTTGGCTTTCATCTTGAACTTAGCTTTTGCCTTGGCCTTGGCCCGTTCAGGGGTAAAAATCAAGGCTGGAGAATTGGAATTGGGATCCTCCGCACCTTTGCGGCCACTGCAGCTTCAGCTGCAGCTTTGGCTTCTTGCGCCTTTCGGACTTCAGCTGCTTTTGCATAGACCTCAGCTGCTTGCGCCTATGTGGAAAGAACCCACCAATGCTGTCAGAATCCGAAGAACACTGTGCCTGGTAGAAGAAGCCACCAACGATGCCGATGGGGATGCCAACTCGGCCCATGCGGACGCTTGGTTTGAAGAGCAAAAAACAAGAAAGAACAGGAAGAACGATTGAAATGAAAAATACACACGCTGCGCATGCTTTGGGGGTCAGACGCACGAAGATCGTCGAGAGCCTCCAGCCCATGTGGAAGCAAAACCAAAGGTAAGTTGATGCTGCGAATATTCAAGTCTTCCATACCCCTCCCACGCGCCCGAGCTGAATGCCAGCTTTCAAGCCAGTGCCATGGACATTCTCGTCCATGTCAGGCCTAGATGTTGGCCGGCCATAAGTTTCGGTCATTTCCCAACTTTGAGGCATCTGCAAATGTTCTCTCTACGTTAGGATCGTTAAGTGCTCCCCCTGAGTGGCATGTCATCAGACTAATGCAAGTCAGCTGGCCTCTTGCATCTAGTTTCTTCAATGATGGCACCTCCAGAAATGACGGAGATCTGGGTCAACTTTGCTAGTGCTTTTGAGTCAGTTTGAAGAATACCAAGCTGATGTTGCACTTCAACAACGGAGCTGCCACGAAACAAGTGATAGTCACTCACTGGCAATCAGCAGCCTCCGTCTGGATCATTCACTGCATCGAATCGCCTGCGAGTTGGCATTCGGTCAAAACAGAACATGAACAGAAAGACAACGGAATCTAAAGCCAACGTTGGGAAACATGGTCTTGATTGGTCTTGGTCAGTCCTGTCCAGGTATGGATGTGGAATTTGTGGACATGATTTTGAGAAACGCAATTGTGCCACCAGTTCCAACTCTGGCTGTACCAGCTCCAAAGACACCGCCAAAAAGCTGCCAAAGTCCCAACTGATGGCATTGCACCTACTGAAAGAGCTCACGAGTGTGGTGCTTCTTTGTCCTGGGGTCAACGAGAAAAGAACCTGCGCAACATGAATTCATTCCGTATTGGTTTTATGCTGGCTCATCTTTTCACGGACCGAAAGTGGCTTGTGAAAAGTTCATAGAAACTTGCTTCACGGTCCTGCGCTAGAGAAAAATCTTTATTAGCTGTCTAGTAGTTTCTAGTTTCCAAGTTTGTAGAGCAACGGATATATACTTTCTTCATTTTCAAGGAGCTGGAAAAAGAATCTTAGTGGGGTTGAGAAGTCTTGTGTCCACAGAATGCAACATTATTCGATCAAGCTGCAAAGTCGTGCAATCTTGTGTTATCTCATCGAACTTCAGGCTTGAACCAGTTGTTCCTCAAGCTATCTGCTGTGGCACTGACCAATAGCTCCTTCAAAGAAGGAGTGCAAACCTTGACGTCTCGGAACATCCAGCAGCAATGATGGGAGCCTGGGCAGCCAGGGATCCATCAAACGCAGAAGGCAATATGCAAAAGACATCATCAAAGACCTTCTCTAAACACCGCATCCAATCAAAACTGAAGTTCATCAATCCAAGCAAATACTTATCTAGCGATCAACCAAATACCTATCCAACGATTACAGTATGTCCACCCTAAAAGGCTAACATCATATTTGCGCTTTCCAACAGAAGCCCCCACCTGGCAGATGGAGGTCGCAAGCAGATGTCGCTGAGCGCATCATCACCTTTCGTGACAAGGGGTTCAAAAGGAATTGAGAAAGCCTTCCAAAAGATCTCTTCTCTGAACGCAAGTTGGATTTTCTAAAAAGAACCCTTAAACATATCTAGGAACCAAATGAATAGAAGCTTGAGCTATCCGTCGTCCAGTAGCTAGTAGCGTGTTAACTCCTTACCTAATTAAGTAGGGGCCTACTCAATTGAGTAAGCAGGCAGGGCCCTGACAAAACACACACACAAAAGAAAATAAAGGAAACGCATTCCACAACCTATCCTTGAACACCTTCAGATCTCGTCCTTTCCCGCAACCTTGCCTGTGATACAAAGGCTGCCTTGACTGTGAGGCATGGCTCAAATGTGTCAATCTCCAAATCCTACCACTTCGTCTTCTCATCTCCCTCACTAGAAAATCATTAAGTATTCTTTGAAACATTGAAATGACTCTGACCAGCTTGACTTGACATTATCTCGTTCAAGAGTGACTTCTGTGACTCCTTCTCTGAACCTCCGAAACTCCGGTCATAAAGGTTCTCAGACTTCACTCCACTATCCGACAGGCGAACTCGGGGCCTGTAAGCGCTCAAGAGCAACATCATCTTTGCTTCGAAAGCCACATGTGACCATGCGTGTCATATGGAGCGAAGAACACGGAAGGTTCATGGTATGCAATTGACGTCAGGCTCAATCCCGCCGGTTCAAACGAAAGAGCGCCAATAACTGAACCTGAACCACTCTCATGATCTATGTTTCACTGATCTCCAATGATGCATTGCGACCCAGAGAACTACACTTGCAAGCATTTATTTTTGCTCTTGCTGGGTCTTTGTGCTAAACAGACTCGGCGAGGCTCTCGTGCTTGAAAGCCACCCAAGAGCAAGTGTATGTGGATAGTTGCTCTCACAGAACAGATTTCTGCAAGAAGAATCAAAATAATAGTGATCATCACTTGGAGGAAAGATGAGGAAAACTTTGGCTTTCTGTGTGTCAAGGGCCAGATTGGGAACAGCTCTCAAGTGGCTCACCAATTGTGCCCGAAGAAGATTGACCAGTGCTACCTGCCACAGCGGATGGTGGCGTGGGAGCGGCAAGAATGGATAGTGTGCTTAATACGCATCGCTCTTAGGTTGGAGGCCATCGCAAGTAGGTTGGAGGCCATCGCTCTTCAATTTGAGGCCATCGCTAGTAGGTTGGAGGCCATCGCTCTTAGGGTGGAGGCCATCACTCTTAGAGTAGGTTGGAGGCCATCACTATTCTTTTTAGGTTGGAGGCCATCGCTATTAGGTTGGAGGCCATCGCTACTAGCTTGGAGGCCGTCGCTAGTAGGTTGGAGGCCATCGCTATTAGATGGCATTGAGGCCCTCAATTCTCTTCAAGTGGCCAAGGCGATGAACCCGTGAACCACCCTTCTTTTCAAATCACATGCAAGGTTGGCTCTAAAGGATGCATTGGTACAAAACAGTGGTTTGCAATCCGAACACCCAAATGCTCCGCAAAAGCAAAGCTGGCAGCTTGCTTAGCTGGCGGTGCAGGTTTCAGAGTCGCATCTTTCCTTTCAGTGCTGCAACTGCTTTAAGGTGTTACAGCATCCATCCCCAGAGCAAAACCAAGCCGGAGATACCTTCAAAGTCTGCGGCTCTATTCTTTGGCCGGGAAGATCGCAGAGATCAAACAGGCACAAACCTCGGAGGCTGGGTGATTCTTCTGCCAGGCTGCCAGGCGTGCTCGTCATGCAAACATGGCTCTCCGCCAAGCGTGTGTTTTGATGTGGAGGAGGCACATGGAATACAAACGATCCGATTCTCTTTTGATCGTCAAACAGACACGACGACAACTACGCTACTTGACAGTGGACTCACACCACACCATCTGGGGATCCATGCCATGACAGCGGTCATGGCCACCGGTGCGGGCAAACGGAAAATCCAGAGGCAGTACCTTGGCGTGTTTGCCTTGACTGACAGGCTGCTCAATCATCAATTGGTCCAAAATCAACCCGAAAAAATCACAAAGCCGAACTTGCTCTGATCTAGAGTCATGCACCGAAAATTCACCACCCCAAGGGCTACATGCACCACTGTGGCTGACCTCTACTCCACAAATATGACTCGAACGGCTGGCGCCTCCGCAGCGGCGACTTCGCCAAGGCCTGCAAGTGGCCCAACGAGGTCTCCAAGCCTTGCGGCATCTCGGATGGTCTCCATCCATCTCCATTGGAACACCCGTCTAGCCTCGGCCTCCAACCTACTAGCTTCTTGTTCCCAGTAGTAATGGTAGTAGTAATGGCCTCCAACCTAATCAACAGCATGTTGTGTCTTGGTGATTTGAGCTGGAGGTTGTGCGCTGTCCTTTAGCCCCTGTGTTGGTGAGAGTCCTGGTGGCCCAGTAAACCGAAAAGTGCCTTGGCATATAACATCACACCAGTCACACCAGCACTGAAGCTGCAACATCCCAGTCCCTCAGAGTGGTCTGTGGAGGTCCCGAACCTTGTTTTGCACGTTGTGTTTTCAGTTTCTTGCTGGCAATCTCCTGGAGAACGATCCATAATCTTCCTTGAAGCATCTTCGAACGGCACTGTTCCACAAAAATCAAGGACCTCTTCTCACCATGCTTTTTCACTTCATGGCCATCGCTAGTAAGTAGGTTGGAGGCCATCGCGAGTAAGTTGGAGGTCCCGTTTTTCACTCATCACCAACTTACTCACTTAGGAGGTCCCTTTCATTCCACTTGTGTCTCATCCACCACCTTCATCTCCGTCCACTTCCAGCCTCGTCGCACCAGGCGCAGCCGTTCAGGGCCTCCGGCCGTGAGGACCTCGGCCCTCAACTCGGGCGCCAAACCCAAGGGCGGCAGCGGGTTCAACAGCGCCGCCTTGAGGCGACGAGAAGCAGCTGAAGAGCAGGCCATTTTGCTGCAGGAAATGAGACCAGAACTCTTGTTCAAAGCTGGGACAAGCTGTAGAGTCTTTGGCTTCTTCAGATCTATGGGAATCGGGGACAGGCAAGGTGAAAGACGCACACGTTTCGAGAACGAACAATCTGTCCATGTATCGTGGTGGTGGACAATTGATGTGCATCGTGCTGTCGAGGCAGTCGTGTCACCTTTTAGTGTCTATACCTTATTTCATCGGGTAGTCTCTATCTCTGTTGGGCTATCCGTATAGGTTCAAGTTGATGTTCAAGTTGATGTCTTAAAAAGAACATATTGGTAAAAACCATGTTCTACTTGATGTTCTGAAACCTGCTGGGATAAAGCCATGTTAAAGTTGATGTTTTAGTGGATGTTCTGAAATTATATGATATATGATATAGATATATGAGTCAGAGTGATAATATAATATGTGATCACAAGTTCGTCAGCTGCAAAATGGCAACGCTCCCTTTTCCACGTTGTCCCCGGTTCAGTGGTAACTGCACAGTGAATGCAGCCTTCAGTGGCTTACAGCCTACTCCTGACCACTCTCAAGCTTCAGGTCCTTCTTTGACTTTTTGTCCTTCTTGGACTTCTCCGGCCGCCCTCCCTCTTGCGCTTGTCCTTCTTCTCAGACTGCTTCTCTTTCTTGTCTTTCGCTGATCCCGATCCCTTGGCCTCAGCAGTGGACTTCACCAAGTCACCAAACATCTTTTGGAGCTTGCTGGGAAGCTGCTCCTTCGTGATGCCAAACCCCTTCCTCATGGTCTCCTGCGTCGCCTTTCCATCTTCTGGCGAGGAAGAGGTGTTCAGCAACAAAGCTGCGGCCAAGAGGACACTTCCAGTGAGATTGGCCTTGGAAGCCAAGTCCACACTCCTCTTGTGCAACTGGCCACACTGCTGGATCAACTCTTTGAAGTCCTTGCAGCTGGTGCTGTGTGAGCAAAATTGCGACAGAGCCTTCATAGGGCCTGCAGCGTTGCTCTTCGCGGCAATGATCTGGTCCAGCGCCTCCCGAGTTTCATCCTGATTCTCATTGAAGAAGGAGGCCACTGGTTGCATTTGCCACTTTTCCGCAGCAGGCAAGACACACTCATACTTGTCAAGAAACTGCTGGAAGATTGCCAGGTGGGCGTCCTCAAAGCTCTTCACGGCCACCTTGACTGAATCCAGGAACGCTCCCCTGAACTCCGTGAAGCTTTCCACAAGAGACTGGAAAAAGGTATTCTTTTGGATGAAGTCATTGTTGAGAGCGGACCCAATGGACTCAAAATTGGAGATGCTCTTGACAATGTCTTCAAGGTCGATGCTCTCGGATCTGCAGGAATCCTTCAGGATCTGGACCGCCTTTGGCACATCGCCGATGGCCTGACCAGGCAAATTCACAACCCAAACCTGAAAACAATTTAGTACAGCCATTGAACAATGCCACAGCTAATGCCACACAATAAAGAACTAACTTACTTACATTACATCATATCATATTTGTCCCATTGATCATTGATCCCATTTGTCTCATGCAAGCACAGTATTCAATGTGCAGTATCCTGGTCCTGTAAATTGTATTTGTACCTGTATGTATGACTCTAGCTATAGTCTGTAGTCAGTCGGTCGTCAATGGATGTTGATGGATTCCAGGGTTCCAGAATCGTGAGTCCTGGAGTCCTGTAATTGACAAAAAAGCCTGAAGCAACAAGGTCCAAACGTCTAAAAAGGTATTTTCTTTGATTCCTAAGTCAATCCTGCCCACTGTTCTTTGACCTGGCTGGTGCAAAGAAATCTCGAATCCAACCCTATCACAAATCCAGTATACAGTATGAATCGTATGAATTCTACCTAGCCCTGCTGCCTGCAAAGAAGCTGCCAAAGAGTGGAACTCGCTGGTCACCATGCGTTCGTAGTCCCAAGCTTCTGATGAAGGTGGGCCAGCGGGATAGTTGACGATGAGCTCCAAACCTTTGGCATTGCACACCCTCTCCACCCAAGAGATGTGTTTCTTGAACTGCGAAATCGCTGGCATCATTCCATTCCTCAATGGCAGTCTTATCGCTGAGTGAAGTCTATTGAGAAACAGTCTCAGACCTAGCTTCAACGGGGTGAACAGTAAATAGCAAACAGTCAAGTGAGAGGATTCAGGATTCATGATAAGCAAAAAACATAACACGAATTCAAATTCGATACACGTACAGTATGATATGATTTGATGATGATTTGAAAGGAAACGTGACGCTGCATTATCATTACCAGGTTTCTGCAAGTCTTCGCTGTCCACATCCTTCAAGACTTTGTCGAAAACAGCCGTGGCACCACGCACAAAGCTCATGAGCAGCAGCAAGTGCTTCCCAGTCATGTCAAGGTCTGTCTCATCTAGGTCTGTGGCTCCAGCAGGCTGATGGCGCGTCAGCTCACAGCACTTGAGGAAGGACTCCAGGCCAAAGATCGGCTCAACGCCGGTAGAAGCAATGGCTTCCATAGCCAACTGCATCTCACCTCACGACTCAGCTGGGAATGGGCATGTGGAATGTGACAGGCTGGTAACCAATAAATTCTCAACTCGCAGACTCACAGTGAAGAAGCAAACAACTTTCATTTACACTGCACTGGAGCAACGTTGGGCAACAGTTTAATAAAATGAAGATCTGTCAGTTAGTCAAATATAATAAGTGAGTCAAGTGAGTACTAAGTACTAGTACGTCAGCCCGAAATTGAAACAGTCATCAAGGTATCAAGGAATCCGGAATCAAGGTCAAGGTGCATTGGAGCATGAAGACGCTGTCGATGTTTGAGGCCAGTTTCAAAGCACCTGGCGGGAAGCACTCCGCGAGGTCGGTGATGCCTTCCAACTCCAAGAGGCTTGGTGAGAGCACGGTTCCCAGTGGCTGAAGGACCCTTTCAACAGGAGGCCTGAAGTCCTTGAACCAAGTGGACACCTCCCGAATGTACTGGAGGAACTTGGCCTTGGAATCAGCATCTTCCTCAAACAAAGAGTCCTCGTCTGAGCAACTAGCCAGCATCTTGGTAAGGTCCCTGATGGACTTTTGCTGATCCTCAGAATAGGTGCTATCATCCGCGAGCTTCTCCAAACTAGTCACATCCCCGCAAAGCTTGCCGAAAGAGACCAAATCAAGGGTTGGGATGGTCCGCTCAGCAAAGGCTTTGGACTCTGCCAAAACTTGACTCCACAAAAGCCTGGGCAGGGAAGGTCTTAGAAAGGTTGGGTGAACAGCAGCTGCATCTACGACCTGCAGCACCAATATAGACAAATGGAATGACTCGGAAAAACACAGCACTCAAATCTGGATTGGGATGAGATGGCGGGTGTTTCAGCAATGGTGTCATGTGATACAGGTGACGTGCGCACAAACATTGCAAGCACCAAAACACAGTTTCATGATCCAAAATACAGTATGAATCGTGAATATTCAGAAGGGAACAGACTTAATAATCATGAATCATAAATGATGATTGAAATGATCAATGATGAACGTTTAACTGATAACACATATCGTGGCTGTCCCAGCCTCCACTCAGACTGGGCATTCATAGCCATGACCATCTTACTGGAAAAGCTAGTCTCGCGACTCACCATGGAAAGGAAACGTGGCTCTGGCTTCTTGTTGTAGATCTGAAGGCAGGCCAGGATGCGTTGGAGGTCAATCATCACTTGTCCTTGAAATCCTGTTCCATTGGGAAGGCTATGGAAGTCAACGTCTGCAGGCACCATGTCCGATGCTGGAAGCCTCAACAAATTTGGGAATTGAGGCCGGCAAAGAATAGCTTAGCTACTGGACAATGACAATTTCCCAATAATAATATATAACTATAAATAATAGACGGCTATAGGCTATAGGCTATAGGCAATAGAATAGTTTAATTACAAAATATGATTTAAGCAATGTCAACTGTACAGTACATTGTAATACAATTGGCAGTTGAATGGAAAACGGATCTGCAACCTGTTACTGTATTACGGATGTTGCGATAGCAATGCAAGAGCAACACCATTGTTTGCCAAGAATATTAGTCAGTAGTAGTAGTCAGTCAGTCTAGTCCAGCTCAGTCCAGTCTAGTCAGAAATCAAAAAGCCTATAGGGCCTAGTCAGCCTAGCCCAGTCCAAAGTAAGTCGGAATCGATGACAAGGAACCATTGGGCTTGGTCCAAGCTTTTGGCCTGCAAAAGCAAAGGGAGCGCTTTGTCGCAAACAGAAGGGGCTGTTGGAAGGCGAAGCTTCTCATAGAAGTCATTCATGCACAAAAGCTGAAGCTTGAGGAGATACGCCCACAAGTACGGGTGGTCCTCACTTTCCTCCGTGGTGTTAACCTCCATAGTTTTTCCAAGCTTGTACAAAGAAAAGCCAGCGTCATCACCAACAGGTGGCGGCATCAGCCTCAAGAACTTGATGAACAAGTGATCTTCTGCCTTAGCAAATTTGGACTCCGGACCAAGAAGGGAATTTCAGGATTTAATTATGATTCAGGATTTATGATTATGTTATGATTTAATGATTGATTTATGATAACTTTGGCTATGACTCTGACTATGAGTCTGGCTATGGTTATCTAAGATAAACTGATACTGATACAGTTACAATTTTAAAACAGATTCCAATGAACTGAACGGCAATTAGGATAGTGAGATAGTCAGCTTAGTTCAGTCTGGAGAAGTCTTCATATTCCGAGCGGCCGCGTGCAACTTCTTGGCGACAGTCTGCAACATGTCATTGGTGGACGGGATGTCACTCACGACACTGCCGAAGACAGTCAGGAAAAGAGCGCTCACTTCTCCACAAGTTGCAACGTCCTTGGCCATGCTGTCAGGAGTTGAGCCGCGGATGCCCTTGCACAAGTCTTTGGTCTGAGTAAGCAAGAGAGCTCTCTTGGGCATCTCTTCGCAAACAGCAGCCACCTCGGCATTGCCAGCAAACTGGCCTTCAGCCACTTGAGCCTCTAGCTCAGCGTGG